TTTAAAATGAAATTTAATTACATATAGCATATAAGCAGAGTCAGTAATGTAACTTTGTTGGAATTATGTTGATACAATGTCAAATTGAGAAAAAAAATCTGATAATATCATTCGTAAGTAAGTAATTTCTAAGCAGGGCTATTAAAGTTAAACAAAACCATAAAAAATAAATGTTAACTGCATGGGAAAAAAAATTTCAGCTAGTTGCCATTGCAACATTTTTCATTTTCACAAAAAAAAAAAACAAACACGAAATTAATAACTTTCTCATTAATGCAGTGAATCCAGACATTCGTCCGTCCGAGTGTTGAAATTAATCATTGCATTACAGATGTGGACGATTCTGCATCGAAGCAGCAATAGACCGTAATCGATGATAGCCTACTGACATCATTCGCATATGCGCTTGTCACGCCAGTATAAAAAATGCACCCACTATTTTTAAATTCGAGATCTGGGCACATTTTTGAAAAAAAACAAGTTTATAGTGGCACATGTGTGCTAGACAGTCGCGGCGGGCTTCATTGCACAGAATATGTGCGCTGTGAGACGTGTGCATTGCTTGACTTGTGCTTCCATCCGCCGTTATTTCAGTGTTTTACTTTAGATATGCTTTCATTTCTGCCGTTTGGAATGCAGTATGTATTAGATGCACGAAACTTGCGCACTGACAGACTTTCACATGCGCTTTGTGTTTGTTGTCCTTAAACGTGATCGTGGCTGAGGTTAAAAAATGCACTTGCATCTCCGAATACTTTTATGATATGAAATTGATGTAGGCCTAAACACAGACACAGTCAGTTGTTTTTAGAACAGGACAAAACATCTGATATGTTGAAAATAGATCTGCGCATTAGTGTGAATGCAGCCTATTAGCCTAAAGCTGCCACTGTCTATGATCTCATCAGTAATCAAACAGCAATAATGCTGAGGAAAAAAGAAAAACCCATAACTATGATTGTCTGTAAACTTTCGGATACTTAAAGCACTCTCAGATACTGAAAGTACTTTTTGTTTATCACTTGTAATTGTCTTTTTCCCCCTTTATGACTTTATATTTGCTTGTATGTTTTGAAGCTATATTTAGTTGGTTAAATTCTTAACACTTTTTTTTTTTTTATTATTATTAATTTGTAATTATATTTAAAAGTAGCCGTCTTATATAATTTAATAAAAATGCACAAAATAAATTTGATATAATTGTGATCCATCGTGATATCGAATTGAATCGAATCGTTGAGTTGACATGATAATCGTAATCGAATCGTAAAACCCTCTATCTATCTATCTATCTGTCTGTCTGTCTGTCTGTCTGTCTGTCTGTCTGTCTGTCTGTCTGTCTGTCTGATTCAGCAATTGCTACTACTTTATAGCAATTTTTTTTTAATTAATTTAAAAATCTAATTTATTTATTTTTTAATTTAGATTAAATTAATTAATTATATTTTAAGGCAATGTCTATCTATCTATCTATCTATCTATCTATCTATCTATCTATCTGTCTGTCTGTCTGTCTGTCTGTCTGTGATTCAGCAATTGCTACTACTTTATAGCAATTTTTTTTTAATTAATTAAAAAATCTAATTTATTTATTTTTTAATTTAGATTAAATTAATTAATTATATTTTAAGGCAATGGAAGTTCTGTGTGTTTGGATGGCTTTACGCTGACTTTTGCAGAAATGGTATAATGTTATCACTGGGGCGGTTGTAGTAGTGATGCTATTCATTTTATGGATGCATCGATAACATTTTATTCGATCCGATCCAGAAAATTCTGAGTATCGTCCGATACCAGCACAGTTTTTTTTTTGTTTTAAATCAATGTAGAATTTCTATACTCTGTGTTGACCTGATTGTCACACTTGTGTGTGTTAAACACAATTACTAAATATAGACAACTTCATTTGAATGAGAAATAACAAATGAAAAAAATATATATAATCATAATCTATGACAAAAATACTATTATGAACTAGGTTAGTGGATAATTTAGCAGCAAAAGTTATTCTAGAAAAATCATGAGTGCAAAATTTTATAAAATCTAAACGTTTAGTGAAATAACTATTTAGTGGGGAACAAATAAAAGTGAATAAGTGTAGGACTAAATCTGGTAAAATGTTACACATTGCTGTAAAATACATTAAATCAAGTAAATATATTTATATATAAATATAAACTATAAAATTAAAAGACATTCTTTTAAATGTATAGCACAGTAATGAAGGCAGCAACATATGATAGATAGGAGTCGATAACTAAATCACAGCTCTGTTTAGTTGTTATCAGTCGTAACAGGTTTTCAATGAAGCTTCTCTTGTTTTAGATGACTGCCTAGGAACCTTTTTGTAGACTATAACAACTTTATTTTTGGGTTTTCCTGTCTTTTCTTCTGTGGTCATTCCAGTGCATGTAGTCCAGCCGCGTTTGACTAAGTGTTTTACATCTGATGGCAGTTAAAGAGCGTAAAACACATGCTATCATGCTGTTCATCAGAATCATTAGCTCTTCTGTGGTGCAAGGCTCTTGTCATCTGGCAGTCGTGGTTTGTCGTGGGTTTGTTTAAGCTGGGAGTTTAAACTGAGCAGCTGGCTTTAATTTACTGACGCTTTAGAGCTAGTATAATGGGTTTTTCTGTTCACTTTCTCTGCTGAAGGTTAATGCAACAGTTGCATGAAAAGACTGAGTGCTTGTTATGTAAAAGCAACTCACGATTCAGTTTCAGTTCATGGAGTCACAACACGACTGCAAAACAATTCTCCATTCTGAATGCTCCGATGATTTCCTGTTTTTATGAAGCCCCTCCCTCAGAAATACGCGATGGGCTCAGATTGGTCAGCTGGCCCAGTGTGCTGTGATTGGCTAAACCACCTAGTGTGCGTTTAGAAACGTCACGCCCCTCAGCTCAGAATGTGCTCCGCTTGTATTGTAAACAATGGTGTCGTCAATATTGCTTATCAATTTGAGCCCGATTGAGACCCAGAGAAGAATATTAGTGAAGAGGATCGCGCAGAACCTGTGCAAGCACGGCTCTTACGTTTTAGAATGGGATGTTTTTTTGTTTGTTGTTGTCTCATACTTTTAGATACGCTGTTATTTGTAAATGAACGGAAACCCAAAGGTCCTGATCACTGACACGCTTGGGTAAGTTACTCTAAAAAAGTAATTAATTACTAGTTTCTAATTACATTTACGGGCCAAGCGATTAGTCAACAGAAGAGACAGACGAAGCGGTTCCGGGCGGAGATCTCGAAGACCGGAGGTGGAGAGGTCGTCGCCCGGGGCCTGGCTTGCGTCTTCCGTGGGGGTTGCACCCAGATTAGACGATAAAGAATTAACTTGACGGAGCTCAAACTCAAAACAGAATAAGACATTTATTTATTTTTTTTAAGTAATAATAAACCGCCAATATCTCAGTAATATTCATGCTAATAACCAACTAGTTAATAGTGAGAATTGGACACTAAAGTGTTACCAATATTCTTATTAACTCACCAAAGTATTTAAAGTGAGAAGGGTGCATAAAAAGCATGCATTTTAAGGTTAGACTTTAATTTTTTATGTTAAATCCACTATTGTATTGTATATGAATGTTCTACAATCTATACACAGTATTAAGTTCAATTACATAAGAAGTAACTGTAAATAAATTACAGAAAAAAATAAGAGTAATCCCTTACATTTCTTCAGCTAGTTGCCAAGTTGATATTTCACATTTTAGTTCAACTTGGTTTATTAAAAAAAAATAAAAAATAGAACTGGAATAAAAATGAATTACTTAGACATAGAATTTAAAAAAAATTGAAGTGACAAAAACACAACAAAGTTACTAAAACTTTAACTAAAATTAAAATGTAACTTCTATATCAGTGATACTAAAATAAAACTGATTCGCCAATTTCATACATTTCAACATAATACAAAACTTAGTTTTATATTACATCACTTTTTGTTTTATTTTCTGAATGTTTGCTTAAATAGCACCTGCATTGATAGAAATAACTTGAAATAGCCTACTTTAAAACCAGCAAGCATTGTTACTAATTTGCTTTAATTTGCTGTTTATGTTTGTTTTATTGCTTGTCATTTTTCTTTATTCATTTTCTTTTAATGAATCTTTCTTTAAATAATTACTGAGAAACCGTGAAGCAATGTTTACTCAAATACTTAAAGGCTACGTGTCATTGTTTAAATATTAATGCAATATTAGAAATATTATGATGTGTGAATAAACATTTGTGAATGTTCTGTTTTTAATTAAAGTAGTAGGCTATCATTTTACATTTGATTACGTTTTTGTTTTTTTTGTTTTTTCTTTCTTTTGTGCTTTCTGAATGTTATCTTGAAAATACAAGTTGAAAACCAAGTTTGTTGTTTATATTTATTCTGTTGCTTGCAATTTTTATTTATTTTTTCATACATATGTAATATTATATTGTGTTGTTGTTACTATTTAACTTTAGGAGTGTGTTTAGTAGGATAACAGCTTTTTGCTGTTGTATTAAAATTCATATTGTGGCAAACACCTTTCTTATTTTCTTCACGCTAGCTTTTTTCCATAGCTGTATCACTCGTGATGCATTTTAATGTCAAACAGTTTCCATATTCCATATTCAGACGTTGCTTCACCATTACACCCTCAGTATTTTCTTATGGCTTCATTTTTCTTACCTGTCTCACTTTACTAGTTCTCATTGTTTTGTTTCCTAGAAGTATTTCGATTTCAGAGAGGTTTACAGCGGTATGAATACATCTTGATGTTCGGTATCCAGCACACGTTGTTGTTGTTTTATGTAAAGTGAATGGAGTCATGCAGCAGTTTTTCGCTCGGGACGAGGTTGATTGAACTGTGCTTTAGTGCCCTGAACACTCATTTCTCCGGTACATAAGCCTGACCTTACATGCTTTGAACAAATGGCCTTAGCTTTTTTTTGTTTTTTTGCCACATTATCATTAATCTGCAATGAAATTCACGCATGTTTTGTATTTGTTGTTGCTCAGACACTGGAGGAGCCCCCTTACCTGACCGTTGGCACTGACGTGAGCGCCAAATACAGAGGGGCGTTCTGTGAGGCCAAGATCAAGACCGCCAAGAGACTCGTCAAAGCAAAGGTGAGCCGCAAAAGGGCCGTTATTTCTGCTGTTTGGGATCATTTGAAGACATGGTTTGAATCTATGGATGGTAAATGATTAGAGAAGACTTTTATGCATGTTTGACTTGTCAAAAATCAATACAGTAAATAAAGGTGGAGGTCTGATTATTTTTGTATTGTTCATCCCTGCCTTTGAAAGTAAACAATGCCAGCCTTATTTGATTTAAAAAGTCTCTTCTGCTTAACAAGGCTGCATTTATTTGCTCAAAAATACAGGAAAAATTGTGAAATATTATTCCAGTTTAAAACGACTGTTTTCTATGTGAATGCACAGTAAAATATAATTTACTGCTGCAAGAAAATCTGAATTTTCAGCATCATTACTCCAGTCACATGATCCTTCAGAAATGCTGATTTGTTGCTCAATTGAAATTAAAATCAATTGAAATTATTGAAAATTGTTGTGGAAAGTAAAGAAAGTTCAAAAGAACAGCATTTATTTGGAAAAAAAAAAAAATCTCTATATAAATGTCTTTACTGTAACTTTTGATCAATTTAATGCATCCTTGCTGAATAAAACTAATCATTTCTTTTAAAAATATATATATAAAATATGTATTTGGACTTGCATTGTTGTGAAGTTGGAGAGAAAATGGAGTCCCGTAATGAATGTGTTTTCATTGCTGTTTCTTCTGAGGAATGGAGTGTTTTCTTCTCAAGCGTCCTCTCTCTGTCTGCTCTGCTCTCTCTCCTCATGTGTTTCTCCTGATGGCTCTCTGATGTTTTATAATTCCTCTCTCATAGTCCTGAAATGTGATTAGCTGCCTGCTCGCAAACCAGAGAC